GGGGTATTTGTTAGGATCTCTGGACGCAAGACGTGTTTTTAGGGCAAAGTTCCAAAGAAACTTTGCAATATTGTGATGGTGGCGAAAATTCGAACGAGTAAGACAGTCGGTCAGTCATAGTGTAAACTTTACGGGGGGTAAGTTGATTTATGCGTATAGTAACTTTTTGTACATGATCAGCAATTTAAAGTTTTTAAATCAGTTTAACTTGCTTAATTTATTAATGTAATATCCCTTTTGCTAAGTTCACCAAAATATTGAGGAATTTTGACCGTTACTGTAAATTTTGAAGCATTGCTTTTCCGTGGTTTGGGATTTGCGCAGATTTACCCCCGGAACACCCGATTTTTTCTTAAACGTCGCAACTGCGCATGTGCCGTCGAGCTTTGAACATTATTCACGATGTAAAGAAACGAGGAGCGACAAGCATTGCTTCAAAACATTCCGGGCGTAAAAATCGAGTAATTTTTTAAGAATCTACGCAATTTATCAACTTATGGGATGAATTATGAGCATTCAATTCCACACAAATATAGGCTAATTTGAAAGGTTTTTTCCATAAATGATACTATACAAAACGGACATTTTGTGCAGTAATCAAATCATTTTGGCGGTATACAGTATTGATTATAAGTATATTGTTTTTTATCGATTTACGCGTCGAAGTATCCACATCATAGACATAATATGCACCGCGGTTTATTTACATTATTCACAACGCAACTATTTTGGCTATTCTTATGAAATGACGGATAAATTGTTGCCATCATATAAATGTAGTGAATTTAGTCACAGTTGTTTGACGAAGAAAAGAGACTAAACTGAGAAAATTGCACCCGGTTAGGCCGGTTTACATGGACAACTAAAATTATAATTTAATACTGACTATATCCGCGACTAACGTAGCTTGAGTACTTTGAGTAATTTCCTGTTTATTAATGTTTAATGTTTAATTTCCTGTTGATTAAAGTCACTATATTTTTACTTATTTCATTATATTTCGAGAGTTCTAGACTTGGTCAAAATTGGCAACTGAGCTCTTGGGCCCAAAAGAAGATAATGTCCCCCGTATAACATGATTTTTATGACTCGAAGCAGTGGAGAGAGTGAGACTTGGTAACATTAAGAGCTGTTTTAGACGGAGTCCAGGTGAACGACGGACAATACTCTGCATCGAGCGCTCAGAAAATCGTGGACAAATGTGTGACTATGCATGCGCATGGCTGTCGAATATCATATGTAAACAATAATATATTAAGTGAACGATATTAGATGATACATGCAGTAAACATTTGTCGTACCGTTTTTTATTGCCACGAGTTCAATCTATTGCAGCATATACTAGCAATAAGTATGCATTATGACAATGTTGCATATAATCAACGGCTGATATAAAAACATTTTAGTGATCTATGAGCTAGCTAGCTGAAATACAAATTAAAACATTGTTTGTATTATGGAAATAACAGCGAGACATTCAGTGTGTTCATCATCAATAATGCACTTTTTATTCATTTGCCTAAGACAGCTATAGTTCGTATAAGCAATTATTGCATATATTTCCGTTAGTTTTTTTGTTGTTTGTTTTTTAAATACCTTTGAAGTACTTTTATCATATGTGTATAATATTTGATAGAATGAATATACTTTAATAATAAACCATGCTCGCCGTGCACTCGCGGCATAACTCAAAGTTTAGTCTAGTTGACACAAATGATTCCATGCAATTAATTTTTTTCAACTAAATCAGTTTCAAATTCTATTAAAAGGCTACTCTCTCCAGTTCTCTTTTCAAAGTCAAGTTCCTCTGGAGCAATAAATGAGAAAAAACGTTTTCCGATAGTTTGGAAACCGTGCAATATATATCAAGGGATTTACGGCAAAATTGATGTAGAAAATTGCCATAAACGTTGCTCCTAGGACGTAGTCCGCTCCGTGCAACCTTAAAATTATTATTGACGGTAGAATGCAAAGAAATGTAATGCAAGCTATGATAATAATTGTGTTTAAAAATCGCTTTTCTTTAAGGATTCTTATCTCTTGTGCGCGGCTTTCGGTTGAATTTTGTAGAGCAATTCTCCTCGACTGTTGCTTTAATTTGTAACAAGTAGAAACGTACAAGACAGAAGAGAATACGACGATAGTGGGGCCAAAACTGTAAAGGATCACTTCCTCGGTTCTTTTACGATTGCCAAAAACGAAATCTGCTCCAACAACGCATAAACTTACAATCCAAATGCTAGCGAGCCATAGGATCATGGCTTTTCCCTTCACCAAAATGCGATGTTTTATCGGATAAGCTATCATTAGGAAACGGTCGATTGATATTGATGTTATCGATACAACCGATGTCAACCCGAACCAATAGACAACGTGGGCATAAATCAATCGCCAGCCAGTCGAATAATCGGTTGTAAAAACGCTGATATGAAACACCGGACCGAGCAGACACGTTGCACAATCACAAACTGCAAGGTTCATAACAAGATATGTCGCTGAATTCCTGAAGTATTTTAAAGGATCTTTTATGAAAGCAACAAGAAGTAACATGTTTGAAATTACTCCAAGGATGCAGATTATGGCACCTAACGAATTGCTGTAGCTCAATTCAAAGTTTATTCCAGACTCACCAACGTCTTCTGCTGCCATTTTACTTGAAATTTGTTTTACAGTCGGTATGCCAATTGATCGAGTTTCAAACCCGAGAATGTTAGGTCATGTTATGAAATATGTTTCAATTTAGTTTTTGCCTCATCAATTATTTAGTATAGTTTTTAATCAGCTATTTATTAAACACGCACAATCACAAACTGTAATGTTCATCACAGGATATATCGCTGAATTCCTGAAGTATTTTAAAGGATCTTTTACGAAAGCAACAAGAAGTAACATGTTTGAAATTACTCCAAGGATACAGATTATGGCACCTAACGAATCGCTGTAGCTCAATTCAAAGTTTATTCCAGACTTATTAACGTCTTTTGCTGCCATTTTACTTGATATTTGTTTTACAGTCGGTATTTCAGTATATCGAGTATCAAATCCGAGAATGTTAGGTCATGTTTTATTAAATATGTTTCCATTTAGTTTTTGCCTCATCAATTATTTAGTATAGTTTTTAATCAGCTATTTATTATACATGACATTCTTTGTGGCAGTTATATTTTATTCTTAAAATTCTATTACCATATTGAAAATCCTCTCTATCAAGCATCCTCACTGTCTAATGACCCTCTCTATCAAGCACCCTCCCTCTATAAAGAACCCTCTCTAACAAGCATCCTTAGTCTCTAAAGAATCCTTTCTATCAAGCGCCTTCACTGTCTAATGACCCTCTCTATCAAGTACCCTCTCACCCTCTCTGTTCTTCTTTGAAACAAGGCCGCACATCGATATTTCGAGAGTGGGCTAATTCGTCATGGCTTCTCTAATTTTAAAATTTATCTCCACGCTAATGGTGCAAGATGATGGATTTTTTATATGGCAGAGTTTATCTTCCCCAGACTCCAAGAAGCTCCTATCAAGGTTGAGATCTTCGGAGGCAATAAAGCTGATGAAATGTTTTCCGATAGTTTGGAAAACGTGCAATATAAATCAAAGGATTTACGGCATAATTGATGTAGAAAATTGCCATAAACGTTGCTCCTAGGACGTAGTCCGTCCCATGCAACCTTAAAATTATTATTGACGGTAGAATGCAAAGAAATGTAATACAAGCTATGATAATAATTGTGTTTAAAAATCGCTTTTCTTTAAGGATTCTTATCTCTTGTGCGCGGCTTTCGGTTGAATTTTGTAGAGCAATTCTCCTCGACTGTTGCTTTAATTTGTAACAAGTAGAAACGTACAAGACAGAAGAGAATACGACGATAGTGGCGCCAAAACTGTGGAGGATGACTTCCTCGGTTCTTTTACGATTGCCAAAAACGAAATCCGCTCCAACAGCACATAAACTTACAATCCAAATGCTCGCGAGCCATACGATCATAGCTTTTCCTTTCACCAAAATGCGGTGTTTCATCGGATAAGCTATCATTAGGAAACGGTCGATTGATATTGATGTTATCGATACAACCGATGTCAACCCGAACCAATGGACAACGTAAGCATAAATCAATCGCCAGCCAGTCGAATAATCGGTTGTAAAAACGCTGATATGAAACACCGGACCGAGCAGACACGTTGCACAATCACAAACTGCAAGGTTCATCACAAGATATGTCGCTGAATTCCTGAAGTATTTTAAAGGATCTTTTATGAAAGCAACAAGAAGTAACATGTTTGAAATTACTCCAAGGATGCAGATTATGGCACCTAACGAATTGCTGTAGCTCAATTCAAAGTTTATTCCAGACTTACTAACGTTTTCAGCTGCCATTTTTCTTGATATTTGTTTTACAGTCGGTATGTCAGTTGATCGAGTTTCAAACCTGTGAACGTTTGGTCATGTTATGAAATATGTTTTAATTTAGTTTTTGTCCCATCCATTATTTAGTATAGTTTTTAATCTGCTGTTTATTAAACATGACATTCTTTGTTGCAGTTATATTTTATTCTTAGAATTTTATTACCATATTGAAAACCCTCTCTATCAAGCATCCTCACTGTCTAATGACCCTCTCTATCAAGCACCCTCTCTCTATAAAGAACCCTCTCTAACAAGCATCCTTAGTCTCTAAAGAATCCTCTCTATCAAGCATCCTCGCTGTTTAATGACCCTCTCTATCAAGCACCCTCTCTCTATAAAGAACCCTCTCTAACAAGCATCCTTAGTCTCTAAAGAATCCTTTCTATCAAGCGCCCTCACTCTCTAATGACCCTCTCTATCAAGCACCCTCTCTGTTCTTCTTTGGAACAAGGCCGCACATCGATGTTTCGTGAGTGGGCTAATTCGTCATGGCCTCTCTAATTTTAAAATTTATCCCCACGCTAATGGTGCAAGATGATGATTGATGATTTTTTTATATTGCGGAGTTTATCTTCCCCAGACTCCAAGAAGCTCAAGGTCGAGATCTTCGGAGGCAATAAAGCTGATGAAATGTTTTCCGATAGTTTGGAAAACGTGCAATATAAATCAAAGGATTTACGGCATAATTGATGTAGAAAATTGCCATAAATGTTGCTCCTAGGACGTAGTCCGTCCCATGCAACTTTAAAATTATTATTGACGGTAGAATGCAAAGAAATGTAATACACGCTATGATAATAATTGTGTTTAAAAAACGCTTTTCTTTAAGGATTCTTATCTCTTGTGCGCGGCTTTCGGTTGAATTTTGTAAAGCAATGCTCCTCGACTGTTGCTTTAACTTGTAACAAGTAGAAACGTAGAAGACAGAAGAGAATACGACGATAGTGGCGCCAAAACTGTGGAGGATGACTTCCTCGCTTCTTTTACGATTGCCAAAAACGAAATCCGCTCCAACAGCACATAAACTGACAATCCAAATGCTAGTGAGCCATAGGATCATGGCTTTTCCCTTCACCAAAATGCGATGTTTTATCGGATAAGCTATCATTAGGAAACGGTCGATTGATATTGATGTTATTGATAGAATCGATGCCATCCCGAACCAATAGGCAACGTAGGCATAAATCAATCGCCAGCCAGACGAATAATCGGTTGTAAAAACGCTGATATGAAACACCGGACCGAGCAGACACGTTGCACAATCACAAACTGCAAGGTTCATCACAAGATATGTCGATGAATTCCTGAAGTATTTTAAAGGATCTTTTATGAAAGCAACAAGAAGTAACATGTTTGAAATTACTCCAAGGATGCAGATTATGGCACCTAACGAATTGCTGTAGCTCAATTCAAAGTTTATTCCAGACTTACTAACGTTTTCAGCTGCCATTTTTCTTGATATTTGTTTTGCAGTCGGTATGCCAGTTGATCGAATTTCGAACTCGAGAATGTTAGGTTATGTTATGAAATATGTTTTAATTTAGTTTTTGCCCCATTAATTATTTAGTATAGTTTTTAATCTGCTGTTTATTAAACATGACATTCTTTGTAGCAGTTATATTTTATCTTTTTAAATTTTTAATTTTTAAAATTTATCTCCACGGTCTCTCTAATGGTGTAAGATGATGGATTTTTTATATGGCAGAGTTTATCTTTCCCAGACTCCAAGAATCTCCTATCAAGGTCGGGATCTTCGGAGGCAATAAAGCTGATGAAATGTTTTCCGATAGTTTGGAAAGCGTGCGATATAAATTAAAGGATTTACGGCAAAATTGGTGTAAAATACCGCAACAAAAATTGATTCAAGGACAACGTTTAGCGATTCATAAAAGTGAAAACTTATCACTGATGGCACGATACAAACGAAAGCAATACACGCTATGAGAATAATTGTGTTTAAAAAACGCTTTTCTTTAAGGATTCTTTTCTCTTGTGCGCGGCTTTCGGTCGAATTTTGTAAAGCAATGTTCCTCGACTGTTGCTTTAACTTGTGATAAGTTGAAGCATACATGATAGAGGAAAGTACGGTGAAAAAGCCCCCAGAAGCGACAGTAACTGCCATCCTGTCTTTGGGCATTTTGTATTTAAAATCTGTCCAACCAGGGATAGAACTTGCAATCCAAATTATCGTGATACAAGCTACCATAGCTTTTCCTCGGAGTAAGATGCGATGTTTCATCGGATAAGCTATCATTAAGAAACGATCGATTGATATTGATGTTATCGATCCAAGTGATGCCATCCCGAACCAAGACACACAGAATATGTAAACCAAACGCCAAGTAGTTAAATGTTCAGTTCCTCGAACGTCAAGGTAATACAATGGGCCAAGCAGGCACGTTAGACAATCAGAAACTGCAAGGTTCATCACGAGATATGTCGCTGAGTTCCTAAAGCATTTTAAAGGATCTTTTATGAAAGCAACAAGAAGTGACATGTTTGAAATTACCCCAAAAACGGAGATTATGACGGCCGGGGAATTGCCGTAGCTTAATTCGAAGTTTATCCCAGAGTTACTAATATTTTCAGCTGACATTTTACTGAAAATCCCTTAAACAGTCTTCATATAGCAGTTGATCCGGCTGTGTCGAGAAAATTTGGACTGAGAGAAAATTGATATTACTTTATTTAACACACGGTCAATTTTGACCCCATGCATTACTTCAAAATTCTTGAAACTTTGAACGTTTCTTTGTGTACGCGATAACTGTAAGTCTACTATCATTTTAAGTACCAACTCATGATGAATGCTCGCACAATATAGTAATGAACCGTTTCGAAACGCTGTTGTTTTGAGAAACGTTTTATTCATCTTTTACATCATTGATTATTTATAGAACTTTCCAATCACACGTGATGTCGGTGTATGATGATTAAACGATATTGTAAAATTTGCAAAATTTGTATATGTCTTTGCCTATCCAAAATAATTTCTACACTGCTTATTTATTGCAATGTTGTTATAACCCACAATCATACGTTTAATACACTGGTATATACATACAATATATTGAATTGATTATTATCAAGAACTAAAGATATCTTTTACCGCGTTATTGTGGTCAGTTATGAACTTAATTCTTAGAATGAAGCCAAGCTGTTTATTTTCATTTTTCTGCGTGCCCGCGAGCAGCCTGTTTTTACGCTATAACTATTATTTATACCTCTTGATGCGTGTCATCCTCTGCGGAAATAAAGCAGAAGAAATGTTTTTCGATAGTTTGGAAAACGTGCGATATAAATCAAAGGATTTACGGCAAAGTTGATGTAAAATATCGCAGCAAAAATTAATCCATGATATCGTTCGTCGACTCGCAAAAATGAAAAATGATCATTGATGGCACGACGCAAAAGAATTAAATACACGCTATGAGAATAACTGTGTTTAAAAAATGCTTTTCTTTAAGGATTTTTATCTCTGTGCGCGGCTTTCGGTTGAATTTTGTAGAGCAATGTTCCTTGCCTGTTGCTTCAACTTGTGATAAGTGGAAACGTACAAGACTGAGGAAACTATGCTGAAAGTTGTGACAGATATATAGATATTGAGGATATCGAAATTTAGTTCCATTGCCCCGGGTATTGCACTTACAATCCAAATGATTGCGAACCAGATGATCATGGATTTCCCCTGGACTAAAACGCGATGTTTGAACGGATAAGCTATCATTAAGAAACGATCGATTGATATTGATGTTATCGATAACGTTGATGCCATTCCGAACCAAAAAACACAAAACGTGTAAACCAAACGCCAAGTGGTCAAATATTTCGTTCCTCGAACGTCAAGGTAATACAATGGGCCAAGCAGGCACGTTAGACAATCACAAACTGCAAGGTTTACCACAAGATATGTCGCTGAGTTCCTGAAGCATTTTAAAGGATCTTTTATGAAGGCAACAAGAAGTAACATGTTTAAAATTACTCCAAGGATGCAAATTGTGACAACTGGAAAATTCCCGTACGCTAAATCGAAGTTTGTTCCACAGGCAGCGTTACTATTCAATTCAGCTGCCATTTTTAATACGAAAGATCTTTATAATTCTGTCTGTATCAGTTGATAGGAATGTGTCGAAAAATCTAAACAAAGGTATATAAGGTTAATATTTTTCGCTGCCAATACAAAATAAAAGGATGCATGGGCGCTGGCCTTTGTTTTCATGCAGGACTTACGACGCATCAAAATATGTACAAAATATGGCGGTTTAAGATAAATACATAAAAAGGTCATTGACAATACCTGCGGCACTGCATGAAATATCGCTCAGTAATATTTAGCGATTATATTTTAATTGATTGTTTAGTCTGTCGTTTTTTTAATAAACTTGTATTACCGTCGTTGATTGAACACAAAACTCAGTTGAGGTACTTTACCATTGTTCTCCTCCTAGCGTAAAATTTTACGCTTGCAGTGTTTTCAAACTTGAGATTCTCTGCAACAATAAAGCAGATGAAATGTTTTTCGATAGTTTGGAAAACGTGCGATATAAATCAAAGGATTTACAGCAAAATTGATGTAAATAATACTGAAAGCAATGTGCGCCAGAATATCGTCGTTTATACCAGAAAACCGAAAAAAGATTAATGGCGGTACGATACTAGCAAAAGCAATACATGCTATGAGAATAATTGTGTTCAAAAAATGCTTTTCTTTAAGGATTCTTTTCTCTTGTGCGCGGCTTTCGGTTGAATTTTGTAGAGCAATGTCTCCTCGACTGTTGCTTTAACTTGTGATAAGTTAAAGCGTACATGACTGAGGAAAGTACGACAATGGCGACACCAACACCCTGAATGAAAGCTTCCTGGCTTTTTTGAAGAGACCCGTAGAACATTTTAACGGCAAAAAAGGATGAACTTGAAATCCAAATGACCACCAGCCATACGATCATGGCTTTTCCTCTGACCAAAATGCGATGTTTCATCGGATAAGCTATCATTAGAAAACGATCGATTGATATCGATGTTATGGAGAACGTTGATGCCGCCCCGAACAAAAAGACAAATTGTGTGTAGATCATTGTCCAACCAGTGGAATAATCACTTTTTGCAACGCTGACATGTAATACTGGACCGAGCAGGCACGATAGACAATCGGAAATTGTGAGATTCATCACGAGATACGTCGCTGAGTTCCTGAAGCATTTTAAAGGATCTTTTATGAAAGCAACAAGAAGTAACATGTTTGAAATTACTCCATGAGCAAAAACGGAGATTATGACTACTGGAGAATTGCCGTAGCTTAATTCGAAGTTTATCCTAGAACTACTGATGTTTCCAGCTGACATTTTATCAAAAATATAATTCACAGTTTCTATATCAGTTGATCGAATCCATGCAAGCAACTGAAGCAAGAAAATTTTGACAGAGCAAAGGTTAATATCTCAGGGATGACGGCACTTTGTATTTACAGTAAAACCAAAAGACTGTTTACACTTCTTATTTACTGAACAGTGCTTAGTATTTGGAATCGTTTTTATAACATTATAAGCAGGATTAAAGATGCAGCACCCGCAGTTGATATATCGCTCCGCCGTCCCTGTTAATCTACAGCTGCCTTTAACACAATACTTTTTTGATATGAAATGAAAAAAATGCCTTAAGTATATAATGACAACAGCCAAAAGCTTTAATCCTTTAACTCGGCGGCTTGCTTCCGACTGCACGTTATACTTCGATCAAAATATATACAACCATGACAGCGTCTGAAGACACTAAATAAAAAGTGCTTTTTTGATAATACACGAAATGAAATGTCGCTCTGTCATTTCATTACTCACATTCCACATGGTTTCTTTAATTCATCTCATTGATTATATTTGATGACTTTTTATTACAGCCGTTCATTAAACACAGCAATTTTTTATACATGCACACGCAATTAAAGATTCGTGAATGCACATTTAGTTCATGAAAGCAATCTAATGTCGTATTTCTAGCTTGACAATTTCCTTGCCCAGGACGAAGAATTTAAGTAGACTTGATTATCCCTATATAGTTCACCTGGTTTTTCATTTTGTACATTTTTTTGGCCTAACTGCGGATAAACTGCCCACTTTCCATTAAAACTTGAAGAAGCGTCCATTAAAACTTGAAGAAGCGTCCATTAAAACTTGAAGAAGCGTCAATTAAAACTTGAAGAGGCATTAATTAAAACTTGAAGAAGCAAAACTTGAAAAATCCGGCGCACGTCGATATTTTGTCCGCATCAGTGCAATAATGTTACTTGTCCAATGTTTTCCCATTCTCCCCTATAAGATAGTAAGACCTACTCGAAATCTTCACCAGCTTAATTAAACGGTATATGAGATAAAAACCATTTCATTATAGAGACTTCTGTCCTCTGGCTGGATTAGGGGAAACTTTGCGAAACGTCGCTTATCCAACCTTTCAAACCCGATAACCTCTGGGGCGATAAAGCAAATAAAATGTTTTCCGATAGTTTGGAAAGCGTGCGATATAAATCAAAGGATTTACGGCAAAATTGATGTAAACAATACCCAAAAATATTGATACAAGAAAATCGTTTTTGACCTCGCGAAAGTGACGAAACTGAAAGAATACCAAACCCGGAACGATAGCGACAAAAGCAATACACGCTATAGAAATAATTGTTTTCAAAAAACGCTTTTCTTTAAGGATTCTTTTCTCTTGTGCGCGGCTTTCGGTTGAATTTTGTAGAGCGATGTTCCTCGACTGTTTCTTTAACTTGTGATAAGTAGAAATGTACAAGACCGAGGAAAGGAAGATAATGGTGGCAAAAATTATCTCGGCGATAGCCTCCTGGCTTTTCAAATTACTCGAAAGCATGTTTACGACAAAAAAGGATGAACTTACAATCCAAATGGTCGCGAGCCATACGATCATGGCTTTTCCTTCGAGCAAAATGCGATGTTTTAACGGATACGCTATCATTAGGAAACGGTCGATTGATATTGATGATAACGTTACGATAGATACTGTCGCGAACCAATACACAACGTAGATGTAGATCAAGCGCCAGCCAGTCGAATAATCGGTTAAAACGCTGGCATGATATAATGGAGCGAGCAGGCACGATAGACAATCAGAAACTGCGAGGTTCATCACGAGATATGTCGCTGAGTTCCTGAAGCATTTTAAAGGATCTTTTATGAAAGCAACAAGAAGTAGCATGTTTGAAATTACTCCAAATATAGAGATCACGACAGCTGGAGAATTGCCGTAGGTTAATTTAAAGTTTATCCCAGATTCACTAATGTTTCCTGCCATTGCACCAAAAAATTGTTAAATGCAGTTTGTGAGACAGTTGATTTCGATCGAGTTAAACGAAGTAAAGAAGACGAATTGTTGAGGTCTTCAACCGCTTTAAACGCAGCTGCCGTTCACGTGATAACCCCCGCCTTCCCTGGCACCAGTAAACCCCTACAATTCCCCTACTTTCACCCCATGTCCTCCATTTAACACACCTTCACCCCTACCATCCCTGAAGTGCTTGCAAGAGAGATGAAATAATATATTCCAATAATTCTGGACACATCTTATAAATTTTTATTGATTCTAAGTACTTGATGCTTCCATGCGAGATCTGTAAGAAAATTACAATTATGACGTGCGTCCATGTTTTATATATTTCATGTTAACTCATTCCGAACAACGCATCACATACATTTAATCCAGATTGCATTCACACGATCTAGCTTCTTTTCTGCGTGTAGTTCTGGAACGCGGTTCTCATCACGGAAACAGCAAAATCAGCGTCTTCTTTGGTGATACACATCGGGGGCTTGATCCGTAAAGCCTGAAAGATGTCAAGTTTGTATAATTTTAAACAAATATTCTTCTTGCTTTTCTCCTGTGTTTCACTGAATTGTAGTTTCTTTGAAATCTCTTTGAAATCAACCGAACAGTTCATTGGTCGGAATGTTTTGAAGCTGGATACAATTTTACCATTCATTCTTGGGTTTGTTAGTTTACTTACTTTTACTTACTAACTTCCATGCTTATATCACGTGAAACAGCACTTAAACTTAATCAGCATTATTGCTTATAGTGTAGTGTGTACAAATCATTTGCAAAGAGTCTGGTTGCATGTGAAGATTTGAAAGTATAGAAAACATTTCATTATACTCACATTTCCATACACGCCTCCTCGACCAACCAATATTCCCATATTCTTCATGTCATCCCATATTTCTATAATGTCAGCAGCCGGGAGCGGGTTCTTGGATTCCTAAAAGGAAAAACATCGAAAGTTGATTTCAGGCTGTGGCTCGAACGACTGGCCGAAGAAAGCAAGTGACGAACCTTGTCTGCGACCAATTCCATGCCAAGCATAAATCCTTTGCCACGAACGTCGCCGACAACTTCGAACTCGTCTCGTAGTTTCAGTAATTCTGATAGAAGATGTGTGCCGACTACTTCGGAGTTTTTCTGGGTACCGTCTTCTTCGATTGCCTAAAGATGGGAGCGTTACGAAAGACCCTGGGTACGAGAGGTTGGTGTAAACAGACCTGGCTATGGTTCAGTGGTCCTGGGTAACCTGTCTCCAAAATTTACATCGATACACTACACAAGTAATCCTAGACGCATCTAGTCCGATCAAATCCACTCAAAGCTAATCTAATCTGATCTAATCGCAGCAGAGTGGATTATTAAGCATGGTAGAACAGAATGATCTATGAGAGAAAATATGTTCAAGCAAAGGATCCACTTACGTCCAGCACCGCCATTCCTACGGCACTGCCGAGAGCGTTACCGCCAAAAGTATTGAAATGAATGGCTTCTCCCATTACTTTAGCGATCTCTATCAGATAAGATGAAAACGTTTCAAGGCGATGAAAAAAGTTGTGGAAACCTACACCTTTAGTAATGCTAGCACTGGTATAGTTCCGGTGAATCACCGTGAAGTGCCCCGTGGAGAACTACACAAATGATTCATTCTTAAACTGGTAGTTCCGGTGAGTGATTCTTTACCTGGCGTAGTCACAACTGCAGCGAGTGGGTAGCCATTCCCAATGCTCTTTGCCATCGTCACTGAAAGAAAGATAGATTCAAACGTGATGGTCTCTTTTGACCACCTCTTTAATTTACGAATCTATTGAAAATATTATCAATATATTGAATTAGCTTTCTAGGCTGGTTCGCCCCGCATTAATTCCCCCACTCCTCCCCCCCTTACCGATGTCGGGCACCACTCCTGCATCTTCAAACGCCCAGAACGACGAGCCCAGGCGACCGAATCCCGTTTGGACCTAAAACCAACCGATATTGTCGTGGAATAGAATGGCTAAAGTCCTGGCTGAGAGGTCGATACACACAAGTTTGGGAAGGATGTCACAGAGGCATGTGGAGTTCAGTAGAGAGGGAGAGAACTCGCACAATATCAGTAGCATATGAAACAAAGTTTTTAACATTTAATAATCTGACAAACCTCGTCGGAAATACAAACTCCGCCTCGAGCTCGGATGAGTTCGTAAGCCTTCGGAAGGAAACCTTTTGGCAGGTGAACTGAACCACCAACGCCCTATAGAACAAAAGTCGATAAATGACATAGGAATATGTCGCTTGTAGAAACTACATACATACACAGCACGCGTCCCGTGGGCGATGGTTCAGTTTTAAAGCCTAATCAATTTAACGTGATTCCACCTGAATGTACTCAGCGATGAATCCAGCAACCCTTTGGCCGCACGAGTGTTTCAACATGTCCTCAAACTGAGCGATGTAATTGTCAGTCGCTTCGCACTGGCCTGGTAAAATATGAAAACGGAAATAATTGTATGTTCTTCCAAGGTCCGCCTGGAATCACGCGCACTTTGAAATTGAATTTGTTTCGTAGATACCTTGAGCACAGTTGCATGTTCGTGTTGTCTAAAACACGAAGAAAGACATTTTAGAACGGGTGAATGAAGTCAATGCCTGTTGTAAGAACATCTAGAGCAAGTAAGCAAAGAACTGCATATCAGCGGTAGACCTGTGCAATAGAGTCGCGGCAATTTGAACCACCCCACAATCCTCTGTACACGTCAGCATTCATTGTCTAGAAAAAGAAAATATCGAACTCAACTCAACGTGACCATAAAATATCTCCACCGATACACCACGTCAGTGACGTCACATTGAGTCCCGGACCTGATGAACTCCAAAGCCAACTGGATGGTCGTACTTCCAGGTACCAACAGCAGTTACACCCATCATGTATGGGCTGGCTCCGTGATATGCATTTCTTTAAAAAAGACGAAAAAACTGTCATATATATCGCATGATTGTGTACAAAATTTGTCTCAACCACATAGGCAACCACATTTTACAACATATTTAAACCAAAGTTGCTCTCTCTGGATTCCGTTTTTGCCTAGAGGCTAGATCAAAATTTTGTCTATAACTAGATCATCACTGACCACTACCTCAAGGAAATGAAATCGAAACTTTTGGTGTACTGTCTCGCCATGAACATCGCCAAATCGTTTGCCTCTGAGCCACTGTTTACGAAGAAACAAACCTACGAACGAAAACGAAAAGTAAAAAAGCAGAAATCAGAAGTCTTCCCATTGCATATCTTGTATTCGCGCCAAGAAAAAGAGTACACAGTTTAGCAATAGGGTCATATTTTAAAGGCTCCTTTTAACAGTTGGATCACCTTCAGATCTCCAGGAAACTTTTCTGTCAACCTTTCCGCGTATTCATGAATATTTGGGTGCATGTAAATCTGTGTTGTATGCCAGAGTTTGTCCATTTGCGCTTTCACAGCTTCGTTCACTTTCCTGTGTTGAAAATAAGAGGCATTTCAAGTTGTCTTCTTCATGAAGATTATAAATAAAGGCAAAGTCGAAATTCTCGTTCTTCTTTCGTACTTTTTGTAGATTCCAATCTAAATTTTGATATGATAAATACTTAGACGGATTTTGCTTCTGTCATTCTCAAGAATACTTACGGATGACAATGACCCACGCCAACGGTTACAATGCCACCGAACAGATCCAGATATCGCTTGTTGTTACTGTCCCATAACCATTGCATTTTACCCTAAAACAAACGTTTGGCAGTCCAGTTTAGTGGAAATGTAACGGGCAAGGTTTAGCCCAGAACTGTTCTGTTTGTCTAGTTGTGATTTTAGGTAGGGGATAAAGTTTTTCTAAAAGTATTTGTGTCCACAGCGTTTATATGTTTACCTCATGTATAACAGGGGGAGATGTTGGATGATAAATGTAATATGTTGGAGATAACTTTTCTTTTCTAACATTCATCGTTTCTTCTGGTGTCTTGCCCTGCGGTATTGCAAATATGTCACATGTTTTTCAAATATATACAAGAAGAAGTTATGAACATGTAACAAAAAATTGTTCCTGCTTTAGGTCTTACAGTGTATGGTTGAGGTTCGTAGTTGCATGGTGGCATCTCCAACAGCTTCTGACATGCAGCACCTAAACGAATGCACATTATTGGCAACAAGATCCAGATTTCTTCACATGGCAATTGGTTTTGCCAATGATCCTTGAACTTGTGGGCACCTTAACTTGCTTAGAGCTAGGGTGAGTGAGTGAGTGACTTTAGGAGTGAGACTTTTTACTTCACTTTCTGTATATCAAACATTTCAAGCATAGCTTTTCAAACCTTCGCACGCTAGTGACAAACACAACTCAGCCAAGCTACCACAAGAAAGAGAGAAGTAATGGTGGTGGTCTTCACTGATGTTTGACTTTTGAATTACCAATGGTTGGAAACTTCATTTGGTATATATGGAGACTTACATAGTAATTTGGTATTGTCAATGTCCCACGACAATATTAAAATGATCTGGTATTAGATAAAACACATTGTGGCAAGAAAATGGTTTGGTCAAAAACTGAGTTTCAAATCATTTCACACCAGATAACTTAGCATAAATATAAGTGTAAAATTAGGATTAGTGGGAAGTGTTTATGAGCTTAGTTATAAGTGTAGCATATTGGCCAGGAAGCGGGTAAAGACTGAAGTGTTTCGTTTGGGAAAGATTGAAATGGCTCAAAAAAATTGTGAAAGAAAGAAATTACAGCGCTTAAATCACGAGTAACTGTGAAATGGCTAATTCGTTTAATATGTCTACGGTCTATCGATGAGCCCCAGGCCTGTGTGCATTCATTCATCACAATGATAAGTATTGTCTTATAGAAGCAGTGTTTTACGACGTGTTTTATATAAATTCTACTTAGTCAGGGCAGTTTTAGACTCTAAGTACATGCTGTGGTACCAAGCGGATTCAACACGGCGTAGGCAGTAAACTCTGGTCTATACTATACAAAATTACAAATCATTACACCACACAAATTGAAATATATTTTGTGCGTTATAACACCTCAATTTTACATACGCAAAAGTACAAATGCACCTCGCGTGACATAAACAAGAACTTTCCCAAATTCAGTACAAATTAGAACGCGCGGAATAAAGAAATGTTGACAATTATTGACAAATTAGCCCCAAATTGGCCCCAAGGGAAACGACGCGTGGTCCGTTCCACAAAGCTTGTCCTTACCTGTGGAAAATAGCTTTTTCGCCTGCTGTATTCCAGCGCGCGAGTTCTTCAACAGCTGTAGTGATCTGTACATATTGTACCTGCAAATATTTACGCAATGCAGAAAGCAAAAGATCAGTTGATTTGCACAAAAAATCCCCGTTCAACGTGGATTGTAACTTTTGAATGTTGCAAGAATGGTGTTTCCACGTTGCTTTTGTTACATTCATTTTATTCTCGAACGTGTTTGTAACATCCACCATACTCCAGTGTATGTATACATCTCAGTGGAGGAATGCAATATGGCGGAATAAATACTTATTTTTTTTTCAAAAAAATTGTGTAGATAACGTCGTTGTTCTCCATGCAAGAGTTAAATGTGTTCAAGAAGGAGTGCGGTAGACTGTGGTTTCGAAAATTAACACCCGGCGAAGATGGGTACGCTTATTTTTTGTCAGGGTGAAGGCATTTTTCACGGCGCGAAATTTGAATTTGATTGCTCTATTTTATTGTATTTTTGTGTAGATTACTACTTTCCATCTCACAATCAATGTCGAGCGCCCTGGCCTCGATCAAGCACTGTGTTAGGTTCACGCAGCTTGCATTCAGTGGTGCAGGAGATTCCTTTGTAGCTGGTGACCAGCAGGGAAACATCTTCCTCTTTCTACCTCAGCAGAAACACGTAAGATAATAAGATTTAACTTTTAAGACCTTTTAATGGCTGAGACTGAGAGTAAAGCGGTTTTGACCGACCGTTTCTGACAGGTAGTTTTGTCAAACGATGGCAGTATTCTTCTAGTAGCACCTACAATGCCTAGATAGATAAAAATACTGAAGGCAAATAGGCAATATTCTTCTAGTGTACTAGAACCTACAATTCCTAGATAGATAAAAAATACTGAAGGCAATATCATATCACTATGATGCATGAAGATTGCCAAAGTTAAGATATTGGTTCTGTGTGTTTTAGATTTACTTTATTGGTAAAGACTGGCACCCCTTGCACAGCTCTAGCATTCAATTTGTGCAGAAAAAATGAGGTTTTAGTTGCATCCGGAGATTGTTCTCTAAGATGTTATGATACAGGTATTCATAATGTACCCTTATGGTGTTGTTTGAATTGTCTTTGTTGAGTTTAAGTAATCTACAGTAGTTCACTGATAATTCACACTTGCAGAAAGGAAGGAATTGGTGAGCTTGATGAAGGATCATGAGTCTTCAATATCTTCCATATCAATCCATGCGTCCGGACGGCATGCTCTAACAACTGCCAACGAGATTGCTCAAATCTGGGATCTTGATACATTCACAAAGAAGAAGACTTTAAATGGTGCACAGACTGTTGGAATCCAGCAGGTACGGTTAGCTGAAAAAATATCATACATGAAGTACTCTATTTACAATGACATTCAAGAGAAGAACTGACCTAACGTGATTCATTATCATTTTAGGTGTTTTTCCTTCCTTTGAGTAACACAATGATTTCGAGCTTCAAAGATGACAGCATTTTTGCATGGGATTTTGAGAGCTTGGTATGCAAATATCAGTTGCCAATACCAGAAGGGCAACCGCCACATTATCGTGCCTTTGCCACACCCAAAGATGGAAGACTGCTTGCTGCTGGAGGAAGGTGAGAAGTAAAAACTAGTTGCATGAGAGATTATGACTTTGATATAACTGTACAAAAGTCTGCCCCAAAAGTTAACAGCTTAAATTCTTCGTTTATTTCTTACTTCAGATCTCATTTTCTTCACATCTGGACTTTGGAGTCGAAGAAATTATTACGAATAATTGATTTACCAACTAAAGTGCGGTTGGTGAAACAACTGAATTTCATTGCAGACAGTTTTGATGGTGGCTCAAGTCAAACGCTTGGCATTCTCTCCCAAGATGGCATTATCCGGTTTGTCAACATTCATACTTGCAAACTGGTGTTCGAAGTTGGATCCCATGAAAAGGTGATTTATACACACTGTAGGTGCAGCCAAGGTATGGTGCGTTCCTAACTACGAGAAAAATAAGTAACAAGTTTTAATTTATGTTTTTTAGCGCATCAGTTCCTTCAATCTAAGTCCAAACGGTTCGGACATGGCGTGTATTATGGACAGCGGTTCTATAAATATTTACAGCATACCGGCTCTGACAAGCCATTTGAAACAGGTAGGCAGATTGATACTCTCTTTATCACGCGTCTTAGGTATGCAATGCTTCCAAGGTTGGAAATAAATCGCTGGAATTGTCTATTCTGACGAAAATCCTAAAATCAGCCGGGCAAATTTCATATATTTTGTATAAACCTGACTGTTTCGTCATAAAAAACAACACTTTTTAGCCTAGGTTAAATTGGATTGAAAATCAAAATCAGATATCTTGAACGGAAACCTCATTTTATTTTTCAAATGCTAGGCACCAGCTCCGGTGTTTAAAACACTGGTCGATGATCGCTTGCGCAAGAAGACTGGTGGCGACTCCACGGTCGAATCGACCTCCATGGAGGATCCCAGGAAGAGAGTGGAAACGAGTTCATTCTCGAAACGAAGGACTGTCGTGAAGCCATCCTGGTTGAAGCCTTCCGAGACAACAACGGAAGATGAACAGGTAAAGAACTTTCGTATAAACCATTAGTTAATATGATCAAACTTCGCTAGACGCCGAACTCAATGAAAACAATAGTTCATGTTCCGGACCTGATTTATTAATCAAAGCTGAAACATAGTGGGGCATCCAGTCACCACTAGCGATCAGTTTCGCTTGTTATATATCCCTAATTCTGTTGTCTCTGATTCTATAGAGCACGGTCAGTGATGGTCTCAGTCACAGCCGACTGAAGGCTATCCTTAAAGGTTATGGGGAATATCCTGCAAAATATAGGTCAGTTAAACTTTACAACATTCTCTTAGCTACAATTTGTATTTTGCGTCGTCTTTATGGCAAGCAATATGTGGAACTAATAACAATTTTTTATGCACCTGCATTTTTATAGAATGTTCATATGGCGAAGTCTTCTTGAACTCCCAGAGAATCATGCTGCATTCTGTAGTCTGGTTGACAAAGGAACTCATTCAGCGTTTGTGAGACTGCACGAAAACTATCCCATCAAGAGCAGAAAGCTGTTGCGAATCTTGCAAAGGTTAGCATACAGAAATATTTCAAATCTTGTGCAATATACCTCAATCTCACAACAGGTCAACGCTTTTGGGCCTCTTCTAACCACAGCATATCTGTGGCAAATCAATTTACCTCTGTTCTTTTTCCGCAGGATTTTGTCCGCCCTGGCTCACTGGTCAGCGGTATTCGGCGAGACAGAATACCTTCCACTTCTCGTGTTTCCTTTTGTGAAGTTGTTCCAGAACAACCAGTTGATATGTTTCGAAGTAGTCGCAACAGTTCTAGGTAGGAATCAAACTAGGAATAGCTTTGTCTATTACTATATCTGACGCGAGAAGGAAAACTTGACCATTAAGAAATAGAAAACATTTTCCGTGTTTCTATACAGTTATAGAAACACGCGTGGAAGTTTGGGAGAACGAGAAATAATCAGTGGGAAAACGAGCCCGTAGGGCGAGTTTTTCCACGTTATTTCGAGTTCTCCCAAACTCCCACAAGTGTTAATTTCTATAACTGTATAGAAACACAGGAAAAAATGTTTTCTATTTCTTTTATAATATAACTCAATAAAAAGATTTTGTACAAATATTATAATTCGATTGAATTAGAAATTCTCATTACATCGCTTCGCTTGTCAAGTTCGGCGGGAAAATTCCCGTGTTTCTATACAGTTATAGAAACACGCTTCCCGACCAATCAGCACGCGCGTACTATAAATGTTATATTATAATATAGTATGGTACATATTTTCAATAAATTTAGCCTGGTTAGCACAGTTAGAAGAGTAAAACAACTTTTGAGTGTTTTTTAAAATTAAAATCGTTTCTGAAATTCGAATGAGAGATGGATAGTAACGTCTCGTTGAGTTCATTATGGTGGTGATTATCTCCCAGTTTTGCACATTTTAGCGGGCTTGAGAATTGCAAATAATCCCTTCTTATCTTGGAAAAATATTCAGCCGTGTTACTCATTGTGAAAGCTTCTATGTCTTTCCTATGTACCTTGCAGTCAACTGGTGTCAAAATTGGTTCGAGTTCTTTCCAAATCCGCCAATCAACTTATTGGGCATGGTCGAAAATCTTCTTGTTTATCATGACAAAAACCTCTTACACCATCTCGTTCAGGCCGACATCAAATCTCAGGTTAGTTCTTTGACCAAACCATTATGGCGTTCATGATGCATGCCTTGACTCGCGAATTTTCATTGACTTATTTCATTTGCCAATCATGTAAACACTTCAATTTTCAGATATATTGTTGGCCGATTATCGAAACATTATTTTCTGAAGTTCTCACGAAGGAGGAATGGCTGCGAATATGGGATCATATCTTCAGCAATCATCCATCGTTTCTGTTGTTCCTCGTCACTTCGTATCTCATATGCTCGAGAAAGGTTCTCTTGCAATGTACTGCTAAGGAAGACTTTGAGGTAAGCCTAAAAATATGATTTCTTTATCAGTCGTAAACTTATCCGCCTAATTTGTGGTGTAAGATACAGAAATTCATCGAGCTGAAATATATTATGAATTTCAATAGTTTCGTTTCAATCAATATTTTCCCTCTCTAGTACTTTGTTCATCACCGCAACGCCTGCGATATCTCAGCAGTCATTCAAGAAGCTTACCATCTTCAAAACACCTCCCCATCTGACATTGATCCTGGGAAAATGTTGGAAGACTTCAAACCGCTTACCAAAGGACAGTATCCGGTCTTCAATAAATATCCCAAGTTTATCGTTGATTATCAGGTACGTTTGCTCTTACTTGTATGAGAGCTAGCCATGAAACATAGTTTCCAATTCAAGTTGATGCTTTTTCTTCACAGGTTCAAGAAAGGGAGCGAATACGACAAGAGGAATTGGAATATCTTCAACAAAGGTACTGTTGTACGCTATCTATGACAAGGTTTAACCACCCCTCATTTTCCCTCTCTCCCCATCCCCATCTCTACCTTCGACCTTTTCCCATCACGCCTTACCTCCCTCCACCTTCCTCTTGAATTGCCTTCACTTTTCATCGCCCTCTCTCTCTCTTCTTACCCTCTCTTCTCCAAACTTTCCACATCCTCTCCCTCCTTTTTTTACCCCTCTTCCCCGCATTGCTCATAGTTCCTCTAATGTACCCCTCCATTACCCTCATCCTTCCTCCGATATCATCAATGCACGCTCTATCCTTCCTTTAATACTCCAATCAACCTCTATCCAGTTACCAGCCCTTTCTTCCCCTCCGTTGCACCCGCCTCCCTGCCTTCCTCCTCGCCATGCATCGCCCTCGTCTAAATAATTATATCTCCTGTACTTTCACCAGGCAACTGGCTGTAGAATTAAAAAAACAAGCGGAACAGAGGAAAGAATCAGAAGAGGCATTTTATCGCAAGCAGGAGTTGATGATGGAGGCTGAGAAACAAAGACGCGATCTTATCTTACTGGAGGAACAAAAACTAGCTGATCAGAGAGTCAGGTGTGTGAATAAAGAAAGCTTAGCGTCCTCTCCCTTTCCTCACCATTTACACACCTTCTCGAACGGTTTTACTTAAAGGTATTTGGTCAAAGGGTGGTTGAAGTGTCTACTGTACATCGGTTTTGTTCATAACGATGTGTGATCATATTTTGCATGCATGTTTTGTTTATATCTGAACATAAACCCTGCCTCGTATTCAAAAGAAATAGTAGCAAACGAAAATAGTGTTAAATATTTTAACAGTTCTTCATATTTTAAGAGATATAGCGATTCAAAGTGTAAATTAACGAAGCGTTTGTCAAAATCCTTATACACTTTACTCTGTGGCTGCACCCGACATTTATAGTTAGTAAATCTAGCTGTAATAACTTTTCCAGGTTACAAGCAATGAAACGCGAAGTTCACACGCGAGAGCTGCAGTTGATGGACGCTGTGAGACGGAAATACATGGAAAATCAGAGCAAGATCAAGGAGGTTGAACTAAAGAGGATGGATGATGAAATACAACGCAAGGTTAGAGCTTAATTTCTATACTTTTTTATTTCATTATCCGCCCCCCCCCCCTTCGCAGCCAATCACCAAAACTTGGAGCGTTACTGTATTTACCGAGGTGTATGTTCGTATTTCAAAATAGCCATGCCTCTGGGGTCACTGGTTTTTTTACTACCAAGGTCGAGTATACCATATTCCGGTATATTCTATATACCTTTACTGACTTTTATTACCAAGGTCGAATATACCATATTCAAGTATATATTCAACCTTCACTAAATTTTTTATTACCATGGTCGAGTATACTATATTTTGGTATATTCGACCCTCACTAATTTTTTTATGTTGACAATAAGGCTTATTGTGATTTTATCATAAGAGTTATCTTTTGCCATAAGGCAAATGTCAGTGTTCTTTCTAATAATTGTATAATGGGGACGAAAAATTCAATTTACAATTTACAATTAACCGGGAGAGGACAATATGTTTGTTATATAAAAAAATGAAAATTTTGCTCAAAAGTTTAGAGTACAGGCGTTACAAGGTTTAGGAAATGATAATGTGCGATTGATTGGTTGAATTTTGCGACAAATCAATTTGTTGATAAATTATCGCCGGCCAACGTCATACGTATCACTGATTCGTGAACACACTCCGACCACGTCGCATCATAGGAACACAGCTAATCGCATGAAACTGATCATTACTCGACAAAATTCATCTCATCTATTCCCAATTTAAGCGTGAACGAGAATTACAAGCTTGATTATAAGTGCATGAATGATAGTAATTAACAATCTTCACCTCTGCTGATCACAATCTCAATTTTGTATCCATATATAGACATTAATATTTTAGCGTTATTAATGAATAATGTGCTAACACCGACGCAAAATCTAACTTTAAACAGCATTATTTCTCTTCTTTAAATTTTAAGAAAAATTGGTAAATTTAGGCTATAGAAAATTGTCTTTTTATTGTCTTCCATATACTTTTTCTTTCCCTTATTTTTGGTGTTCTGAACGTTTCCTTTGTAGTAATCTTTCAAACACAGCAGTGTGGCAGACATGTAGCACATTGTCATTGACAATCGCTTTATATTTTTAATTCTAAGCCCCCTGCGTCTATGAATTTTGACAGCGACAAGTCTTTTGCTCGTGATTAACGAGCGAATTTTTGTCCCAGAACTTCCCAAGCGGAACCTTGCTTGTACTCTTACGAAAATAATCATTGTATTTTTTTATGAGAAGAATTAGGCCTGCTTCAGATCGACGTCGAAATTTTCATGTGCCGAACCTATTCAACCTAAACTTAATGAACTAAAGTCTTTGTTTAAGTTCATTAATTTGCATGCAAAGTTCGACGTCTGAAACGTGCCTCAGAACCTTTGTTAGGAACTACATATATATAGATCAGTGGTTGTCACTGTCACAAAAAGTTCTGTCCTAATTGAGCATCAGCTCATTCAGCTGTTCCAGCGTAATGTCGAACAGCACGGCTCAGGAAGCGTCGTTTCTGCAGAGTTCTGCGGAATCCATATTTCTCGTGAGCTTTATGTCAATTCAGTGCGCGGTTGGCTCGATCGCAAACGCCGTTGTCATCGTCTTTTTTGTGCTGAGGCGAAAACAGCCTTACAAGCCGTTCGACAAGCTGATTTTAAACTTGGCCGTAGCAGATTTCGTGGCGTTGACTACCTACGTTCCATGGCGAGCACACCTCCTGTACCTAAGACAAACGACCAAGCATTCTCGTTACTACACATCGCTTTATGTCTTCTGTTTATTTTGCACGGGGAACGCTGTATTGATGATCGCTCTGTCGAGGTTGTTCGCCATTCTTTTACCGTTCAGACACCGAGTACTCGTCACGAACAAGCTCGTGAACTACGTAATTGCCTCATCGTGGATAATCGCTTTGGTTTTAGGAGTTGGGCATCGATTCAGCTTTAAAGACATGGGTAATTTTCACTTGGGATACGAGCTATTTCTGTCGTTTTTATCCTTTTGTCAACTTCTATCAATTCTGATCGTCTATGTAATGATACTAAGGTCGGTGAAGCAAGCTGAAAGCCTTTTCAAAGAGCGCTCGCTCAAGATTTCCAGGACGACATTTGCGATTGTTTTATTCTGCTACGCCACCTTTCTACCGTACACAGTGTATCGTGTCGTATCAACCGCAGATAAATCCTTGACGGTTCCTCAGAGACAGGAGACCTGGCGATGGATAATTGCTTTCAGCTTTCTCAACTCTTGTTGCAATCCTTTCCTGTACTTTATAACGGCAAGAAACTTGAAACGCAACCTAAATCAATTCCTGAGCACTGTTCAAAGACGTATTGACATTGATATGAGACACAGAAATTATAGCCTTTAGTTCAACGATGTATAATGTATATGTGTGAGGTGAATTTATATTATATGAATGTATATTCTGTGATACAATGAACTAAATGTTTTTCTTAGAAAAGGCGCCAGATGTTGTTGTTGAAAAGCGTGTTAATTAACGTATAAAGTCTTTTATTACCCTTGGCTAATGAAAGACCGCCTAGCACTGAATTTTCTCTGTAGTGACTAGTTTTTTTCGTCCTGCTGAAAAATATCTTTTTCCAGGATTATATTCGTCCATGCATGCAGCAGCTTAATATAATTCCGTTCTAATGTTTCTTAAGGCCGGCGCACACTAGAGCTATGTGCTTAGCAAAACGTCATAAGTGGCCATTGGCGTAAGCCAGTTGCTCTCGTGTGCGGCGACTTTTCCGACGACTTTGGCACGAATGACCAAAGTTGCCCGAAAAGTCGGCCGCACACGAGAGCAAATAGCTTACGCCAATGGCCACGAATGACTTTTTGCTAAGCACATAGCTCTGGTGTGCGCTTGCCTTTAAGTTAAGCCTGGGTTTCATATTAAACGTACCATAGCAATTTACGTACAATAACCTAAATTATTACAAATAGTTTCAAAAGTTTTGTGAACATTGATATGTTAACGTAATCTGTCTGCTATAAAAGGTTCTAGTCTCTGACTTAAAATTGTGTAGAAAGGTATAAGACAAGACATGTTTTTTCGTGACAAAGCCGTTTTTTCGTAACAATGCCATAAGACATGTTTTTTTCGTAACAATGCCATTTAAAGTACACAAAATTGAAATGAAGCACTTAATATGTTGCCCCTAAACGTGACATACAGAAAATATCTGCTCTGTACCCCAGGTGTCGTGGCGTATTTCCTACAAGTGTTTTAGTTCTCAGTAAAAAATACCCATAAGGCCCCATGCATATAATAATATTCTATATAACAAGTCTGCACATGCGCTGTGACGTAGTCTGCGAATTAGGCATGTTCCTGATTGGTCAACGCAATTGGCATTGACCAATCAGAAACATGCTTCGATTTCAAACCGCTACGTCAGACTTTTTATACAGGTATATATTACTCAGTTAAAGTTTTTTTGTATTCAAGTAAACCTGTCCAAAGGGTTTTTTCCTTTCGGCTCTTGTATATGCTTGTAATAGCCAAGGCCTGACGAAATCTAAAAAAACGCTATCCGTTATCTCAATGAGTTATCTGACCGCCATCTTGGAAGCCAATTTGAAGTCGAATTCAGTACCAGTTCCTTTCTATCAATTTTTTCCGTGCGATCGTCGACCGTGAAGACAAAAACAAGAGAAATGGACTGGCACTGGTGCCAATTCAAATTGCGTCGAAGATGGTGACAAATTATCGTTTCAGTTCACATAGAGTTCAGTAATTGGGTGCATGTATGGCAGTGAAAAGCAACTCGTATAAATTTCATATTTCTGAGCATGGTTTTGAATTAGAGACATTACAGTAACAGTCATGTCAACTACTGCATCTTTTTATCAACTACTGCATGTGCAAAAAACGCTCTGTCCTAATTGAGCATCAGCTGTTCCAGCGTAATGTCGAACAGCACGGCTCAGGAAGCGTCGTTTCTGCAGAGTTCTGCGGAATCCATATTTCTCGTGAGCTTTACGTCAATTCAGTGCGCGGTTGGCTCGATCGCAAACGCCGTTGTCATCTTCTTTTTTGTGCTGAGGCGAAAACAGCCGTACAAGCCGTTCGACAAGCTGATTTTAAACTTGGCCGTAGCAGATTTCGTGGCGTTGACCACCTACGTTCCATGGCGAGCACACCTCTTGTACTTGAGACGAGTGACCAAGCATTCTCCTTACTACACATCGCTGTATGTCTTCTGTTTATTTTGCACGGGGAACGCTGTATTGATGATCGCTCTGTCGAGGTTGTTCGCCATTCTTCTACCGTTCAGACACCGAGTACTCGTCACGAACAAGCTTGTGAACTACGTAATTGCCTCATCGTGGATAATCGCTTTGGTTTTAGGAGTTGGGCATCGATTCAGCTTTAAAGACATGGGTAATTTTCACTTGAAATACGAGCTATTTCTGTCGTTTTTATCCTTTTGTCAACTTCTATCAATTCTGATCGTCTATGTAATGATACTAAGGTCGGTGAAACAAGCTGAAAGCCTTTTCAAAGAGCGCTCGCTCAAGATTTCCAGGACGACATTTGCGATTGTTTTATTTTGCTACGCCACCTTTCTACCGTACACAGTGTATCGTGTCGTATCAACCGCAGATAAATCCTTGACGGATCATCAAAAACGGGAGACCTGGCGATGGATAATGGCTTTTAGCTTTCTCAGCTCTTGTTGCAATCCTTTCCTGTACTTTATAACGGCAAGAAACTTGAAACTCAACCTAAATCAATTTCTGGTCTCTGTTCAAAGACGTATTGACATTGATATATGAGACACAGAAATTATAGCCTTTAGTTCAACGATGTATAATGTATATGTGTGAGAGTGTGAGGTTAATGTATATGATATGAATGTATATTCTGTTATACAATAAACTAAATGTTTTTAGAAAAGGCACCAGATGTTGTTGTTGAAAAGCCAGTTAATGTATAAAGTCTTTTATTACCCTTGGCTAATGAAATACCGCCCAGCAATTTTCTCTGTAGCGACTAGTTTTTTTCGT